ATTGCCTGCACAGTCCTAGTGAATAAAAAAGAAATAGGTGCAGTTCTAGACAAAATAGCATTGTTACCGACTTGAATTTTTATTTGATTCTGCCTAATTATGAATAGGAATGTATTATCCAACTTAGAATATTGGTCAAACTTAAATTTTAAATAGTAATTAAAGTCAATAAATATTTCACTTTTGAAATTTACTACTACAACTTTTATGATTTGTAATTTAATGTTCTCCAAAAAGGAGTACTCCAATTTATGACCTATGTAGGACTACGGCCTAGGAATTTTGTGCGGCTCCCAATTAAGTCCCAACTCTTCCTAAATAAACACGGATAAGGAACACTAATCCTAATTTAATTTGTTTAGAGAAATTTTCATAAAGCACTATCTTTTAGTGGTAATTAACTATCTATAGATACCATTTGCTATATTACGGATTGTAGATACGTTTTCTGTTGTTATAAGATGTATTAGATGTATTTAAGCTACTGTATTCATGAATACAGTAGCAAAAATAGGCGTGAATCAGGGAAGTCCAGCTAATCGGTTGTTGTATTCGAGTGTATTCGACTGTATTCATGGCGTGAAACATGGGATTACAGCTGGATATATTATTGTATTCGACTGTATTCACGGCGTGAAACAAGGGATTACATTATTTCTAAACGGAAAGTGAATCAATTAACATAATAGACTCCTAATATAACTCAACAAACTCAATTACAACACAAAAATTTTGTATTTCCAGTTATAAAAAAAGATTCTCAATCGAAAAATACCCCAAAAATATAGCAATTTTCGGAGAAATTATATAATACATCTGAATACATAAATTATATTAATTAAAAAAAACATATGAATACATTACACTGAAAAACAATGAAAAAAAAAAGACAGTGAATGCAATGAAATACATGGAATACAACGAGATACATTGAATTACAATGTAAAAAAATACAATGAATACAATGAAATACATGAAAATACAGCGTGATACACTGAAAATACATTGAAATATATTAACAGAAAATCAAGTTGCTCAGCCACAAACTCCGTCATCTTTGTTCAAGAACAAACCCTAATTTCCGGCGAATCCGCCGTCGAGCAAAAACCCTGAATCTCACTGTTCCCAACATGTATATATATGCAGCCATGGAGACCCTATGCCAAAGATAGCAGGCATAGCAAAATTGGACGTATCAGTAGCAAAAGCTGATCGGCGCGATTGCATAGTGGGGTGCCGATTATTTGTAGAAGAGTACTCTTTTGTGGAATAAAATTGGAAAGTAGCTAAAAGGACAAGGGCAAAAGAGGACTGAAGCATGAGATGGAGGAGATTGGAGGTGGACTGAATGGACTGAGTGATTTGATCAGCCACCATCGTTTTCGCTGACCCATCTCTGTTGTTGCTGTTGTTGCCGCCAGTTTTGCCGGTCGACGTCGACGTTGCCATCCCGACTTCTCTTCGTGGGTACCCGGTCTGCTCTTTTGTTTGTGCAAATTCCCGCAAAGTAAAATAGAGAGAGAAAGAAAATAGTGTAACTGAATAGCGTATTTAGTGGCTTAGAGGTAGGAGTAACCAAAATTAGATATTTTGCTATAAACATTAAAAGGTATCTATAGAATATAATTTTTTAAAATGGTATTTATTTAAAATAAATAAGGTGTTAACCTTTGCTATAGGAGGTAAAAGTTCCATTTATTTACCGAGTTCAATTCAATCTGGGCTCCAAAAGCCTATATAAACCAAACGGGAGCGTCTGAGCAAAGTTTATAAGAAGTAATTATATCATTCTCTTGGGTATTTGATATAAAAATAGGCAGTACTCCCTTAATTATGGCTACTACTTCAGCAAGAAAGCCTGGGATTGCACAGGCAGAGGTAGAAAATTGTGAGAATGCTTTGAAGGTAGACGAAAGTAAACATATACAGATGGATTTTGCAAAAATGGTGAAACATGTGCAAACGAGTACTGGTGGTGGTGGTGGTAGCAGAGGGACAATTAGGAAGTTACGAATTCGGGAGGATACAGCATACTATGATCTTAAATCGCGGTCCATGCGTGAAGATCCTCTTCTTGACATGTATGCAGTTAAAAATCAAAGCGAAATTAGTGGTCAAGCGTTGGAGTTTAAACGGCTTAATATTCATGTGCGGGAGGCTTTTGAGAAGGGTCATGATGTTCCCGCGCGAAGGGATCCATCACAAGCAGAATTGAAGGTACAAACAAACGAGGTTGTCATAGATAAGTATGACAATGATGCTGCCAGTGAGGCCACATCCCCAAGAAAACTATTATAATTTAGTCAAAATGAGAAAGAGCTATTATTACCTGTTGTTTTCCTTTCACCGGCTGATTCAGGATTTTTAAAAGTGCTCAACCATTCTTAATTTGAAAATTGATACTTAGTCTGAGTGCTTTGTTATTATATTTATATAAATTACTAATTTTTCTATATAAGTAGTAGGGTTTTTTTCAAAAGCACTGGGTGCTTAAGCAACCATATGACCTAATGTAGATCCGCCATTGTTTCCTTTTATCTTCCACTTCGATTTTTTTAGTATCTTGATGTTGTTATTGCTTGTTGCCATTGTTTTTATCATCTTTTCTTGAGCGATGGTTTAACGGAAACAATCACTATGTCTTCCCATAGTAGGGGTAAGGTCTACGTACACTATCCTCCACCTGATGAATTTATCAATGGCATGCAACTCGAATTCAAGGATCAGAAAGAGAGAAATTTAGAGAGAGAATTTTTGAGAATAAAAGCAACTCTGTTCTTCGATACAACTCAGAGAAGAAGAAGACTCAACAGTGAAAAAGGAAACCACTGTTTATAACTCCTCTAACCAACTAGTGGTTCCCAGCTATACAACTAATTACAACTAACCATAGTTATTAATTTAACTAACTAATGGTTAAGTACTAACTACACCTATATCCTTTACACCCCCCCCCCCCCTCAAGCTAGGACTGGGAAAAATGTTCAAAAGTCCTAGCTTGGACATCAAATATGTATGCTGTGGTCGACTAAGGCCTTTGGTGAGGAGATCAACTGCTTGTTCTTGTGTAGCACAATAGTGAGTAGTAATAAGGCCTTGTTGAATCTTTTCACGGATGAAGTGGCAATCAATATCGATATGCTTCGTGCACTCATGGTAAACTGGATTGGCAGCAATTGCAAGAGCTGATTTGCTATCACAATAAACTGATACAGGAGACTGGTGCTCGAGTCCCAGTTCTTTTGAGTAAGCCAAGTACCCATATAATTTCAGCAACAGTAGAAGCAAGGCTGCGATATTCAGCCTCAGCTGAACTCCTAGATATGGTAGTTTGTCTCTTTGACTTCCAAGAAATAAGGGAATTACCAAGTTTGACAAAATAGCTAGTAACTGATTTGCGTGTATTGGGGCATGCAGCCCAATCAGCATCACAGTATGCTGATAATGACTCTGAACAATTGGCACCCAGAAAAACTCCCAGTCCTGGACTAGTTTTAATGTACCTCACCACTTTAAGTGCTGCTTCCATATGGGATGCTTTAGGACTGTGCATGAATTGACTGAGACTCTGGACAGCAAAGGAAATGTCAGGCCTTATGATGGTCAAATAGAGCAACTTACCTAACAACCTTTGATAAGGTCCAGGATCAGTTAACAGTACATCATCAGATGATCCTATATGGTTGTCAAATTCCGAAGTGGTAAGTTTTAGATTAGGTTCTATAGGGCATCCCACAGGTTTTGCACCTGAGAGTCCCAACTCAGAAATAAGCTCCAGTGCATATTTACATTGGTGCATCAATATTCCATTACCATTTCTGGCTAATTCTAGGCCTAGGAAATATTTAAGCTCTCCTAGGTCCTTGATCTTGAATGAAGATTGTAGTTCATCCTTAGTTTGTTGAAGCAATGCAGGATCATCCCCAGTAATAAGTAGGTCATCAAAATAGACCAAAACAATAACTATGTGAGCTGCTGTCTTTCTGATGAAAAGAGAGTAATCCAGGTGACTTTGTTGAAAACCAGCATCCCTTAGGGCTGAAGTTAACTTGATATTCCATTGCCTAAATGCTTGCTTGAGTCCATAAAGGGACTTAATCAATTTACAAACTGTAGATTTGTCGGTTGAACCATGGAAACCTTGAGGAATAGTCATATATACTTCTTCAGTGAGATCACCTTGCAAGAAGGCATTATAGACATCCATTTGATGGATGAACCAGTGCCTTGATGCTGCAAGAGCCAGCACACTCCTAATAGTGACCATTTTCACTACAGGTGAAAATGTTTTTTGGTAATCCAGTCCTTCCCTCTGATTATACCCTTTTGCTACTAGACGAGCCTTGAATCTTTCTACCTCTCCTGTTGCCTTATATTTGATCTTATAGACCCATTTTCACCCTATAGCCTTCTGTCCTTGTGGCAAAGTAACCAACTCCCAAGTTTTATTATCCTCTATGGCTTTAGTTTCTGCTTGCATTGCTTCTACCCACCTTTTATCCTTGATTGCCTCTGGATATGTTGTAGGTTCCACCTCAACAGAGAAGCTAGCCAAGTAACTTTGATACTTTGAAGAGATCACCTCATATCCAATAACTTCTGAGATAGGATATTTGCAACAATTCACAGAACCTAACTTGCCAGGTCTACATAGTCCTTAAGCCATATAGAAGGCTTAGATACTCTAGATGATTTTCTTGTTCCCACACCAATAGAAACATTAGAAGAAACAATTGGAGCTTCAGGAGGAGTAGTTTGAACTTCAGCATTGCTATGAACAATAGTAGAGGGACTGTCCTGTTCAGTTAAAGGAACAGGAATCATAGCTGATGAGCATGGAACACTAGGTGTGGCATGAGAATCATCAGTAGCAGAACTGTCCACAACCATTGGTTCTTCACTGAAATCCTGCCTAGGCACTAGACACATATCTAAAAGAATGATTTTGATGTGCTTTCAGCTGCATGAAAAGGGAACATACCTTCACAGAATACCACATCTCAACTGATAAAAAACACTTTATTCTCCAAATCCAGCAATCTGTACCCCTTTTGATGTGCAGCATAGCCCAATAAAACTGACCTCACAGCTCTAGGTGCAAACTTGTCACTGTTTATTAGGTTAGTAGCAAAGCACAGGCAGCCAATAACTTTCAGATGTGTTAGTAAAGGTGGCTTACAAAAAAGCAGTTCATAGGGTGATTTATATCCCAGAATAGATGAAGGAATCTGTTGATAATATAGACAACAGAGTCAATACAGTGTCCCCAATATCTGACATGTAAATGTCCTTGAAATCTAATTGCTCGAGCAGTTTCAAGTATGTGCCTGTGTCTCCTTTCCACAACTCTATTCTGCTGAGGAGTATAAGGACAGGAACTTTGATGAATAATTCCATGTGACTGAAACAAATCTTCACAAGCACTATTGAAGAATTCACCACCATTGCCTGCCCTAAAAACTTTGATCTTCTTGCCAAACTGTGTCTTAACCATAGCAATGAAATTCTTGAGCAAAACAATAACATCAGATTTAAGCCTCATGAGAAACACCCAAGCCCACCTAGTATAGTCATCAACTAACGTAAGAAAGTATCTCATTCCATACATCCATATGTATCAAATCAAAATTGCATATACTTCTGGTAGTACTGGTTGGAAATTGCACTCTAGTTTGTCTAGCTAAGGGACAAATCTCACATTTAGACAATGTACTACTGTGTATATTACTACTATACTCTTGTAGACTGGGAATTCTTCTGAGAACTTGAACTGGTACATGTCCTGTTCTTTTGTGCCATATATCCATGCTTCCCTTATTAGTTACTGCAAAAGCTTTATTCACTTTCTTCCCTAATGCAGCTGACAGAATGTATAGATCTTCCTCTCTTTTACCAATCTCCTTCACCCTCCCAGACAAGAGGTCCTGAAACACACAGCATTGAGGAAAAAAGGTAACACTACACTTAAGATCTTCTGACTTTCGAGACTAACATAAGATTGAATTTGAAAGATGGTACACATAACACATCCTTCAATACATCACCTCCTGTGAGTTGACACTCTCCCATATGAGAAATAGTGGCTGATCTCCTGTAGGTAGTTGAACTTGTCCTGAGTTCCCTACTGAAGTTTCATTTTTTAGCAAACTTTTATCACCAGTCATGTGATTAGTAGCACCAGTATCAACTATCCATTTGCATAGCTCTAAGTTTTCACAGAGTGATATATTACCACTGAAACATTTACCTGCCATGTTGACACTTGCTTCTCCAATAGAGTTCTTGTTCAACAATTGTAACAGTTGATTATATTGCTCCTTGGTGAAAAATTGACCAGTCTCAACGCTGCTCCCTGGTTGATAAGTAGCTTGTGGACTTCTCAAGTCCTGCTGTCCAGTTGTGTCAACCATCACTGCATTGGCTTTCTTCTTCTGCTTGAAGTCAGTTGGATATCCAACAATTTTGTAACAATTCTCCTTGCGATGTCCTGTCTTATTACAAAACTCACATTTCATTAGCTTATAACATTCAATCTTAGTATGACCTTTCAAATGACAAAATTCACATTCTAAGTTATAATTTCTTCTTGGTCGAGCTGTGAAAAGAGCTGTAGGATCAGTGTGCCCTGCTTGTCCATAGGCATTACCAGCAATCATCTTACTACTTTCATCCTGTACTACCATAGCATAGGCTTTATCTATAGACGACAGTGTTGGCATCAGTAAGATTTGGCTCCTTGCTTGCTCAAAACCATCATTTAATCCCATTAAAAATTGCAGCAGACGCTGGTATTCCAATTGCTCAATGTATTCAGTAGCAGATGAAGGAGGCGGCAGTATTGAATCATACTTTGCCCAAAGGTCCTTCAATTTAGTAAAATATGTCGAAACATATGAAATTCCCTGTGTTAGAGTGAATATCTCCTTGTGCAAGTAGTACAATCTCGATCCATTCACTTTGTCAAATCTCTCCTTGAAAGCTGCCCATATCTTCTGTGCATTAAAAGAAAACAACACTCCTATGACTAGTTCTCTACTTACTTGCTCATAAGCCATGAGGTGACGATGGCATTGCATCGATCCCACCGACTTCCCAATTCTGCACCAAAATCTTCCTTCGATGTTGATCCGTCAACTAGGCACAATTTGTTCTTCCCTAGCAACGCGACTTTTATCGTACGACTCCAAAGAGAATAATTTTCCATCCATGTTAAAATTAATCCCACCGACATGGATCCGGGACCGTCTGAAGGATGTAGATAGAGAGGATGATTATGATCTAGTATAATTGAGCTTCCGACCACTCCAGTTCCAGATCGAGCTCCAGTATTCGCATTAATCGTTGAATCTTCAGGAATTACCATTGAAATATGTAAAATTAGGGTTTAAAACTTCTGAATTTGAGTAGATCCTCTCGAATTTCTCTTCAATTACTCGAAAAATTTCCTAGAATCACTCGTTCATACTGCTCTGATACCATGATGAATTTATCAATGGCATGCAACTCGAATTCAAGGATCAGAAAGAGAGAAATTTAGAGAGAGAATTTTTTAGAACAAAAGCAACTCTGTTCTTCGATACAACTCAAAGAAGAAGAAGATTCGACAGTGAAAAAGGAAATCACTGTTTATAACTCCTCTAACCAACTAGTGGTCCCCAGCTATATAACTAATTACAACTAACCATAGTTGTTAATTTAACTAACTAGTGGTTAACTACTAACTACACCTATATCCTTTACCACCGACAATGCTTCACTAACTTTTTTTGTTGTTGTTATTGTTGTTTGCCTAGTGCTCACATAAAAATTACTATTTGAAAATTCTCCACCTTACCACAATGCGAACAAATGAATTTGGATGAGAAAGGAAGTCGTTATTTAAAAATAACGTGAAAAAGTTTAACAATTACGTGCAAAATATATTACGAATTCTGCATACTTTTGTTGTGTTACAATAAGTAATTTCAGTCTTCTAATATCAGCTCCTTATAGGCGCAGATAACCTTTATGATATAGCATATCTACCACGAGAAACACATGTAAATTATACTCTTGGACCATTTGCATTGTACAACAACAATAACATACTCAATGTAATCACACAAGTGGGGTCTGTAGAGGGTAGTACGTATGCAAACCTTACCCTTACTTTGTACAGGTAGAGAGGTTTGTTTCCAATAGAACCTTGTTTAACATACTGTATGCGGGTAAAACCGGTCTCGTAGTACACCCCAGTCTCCGACATGATAAGCCAAGCTCGAGATATGATAACAGGGGGCAAGACCGAGGTAGAGGTCTTATCGATTAGGAGTTCGGGACCATAACACCCACTCCTCACGTATCGATAGGAAATCGGCAGTCAGTTAATTAGAATATTTTTACCTTTTATAAGAATTGTACCTAGAATGACACTCTCCTACTATATAAAAGGGGTCTGGTGTTTCATAACACAGGTTGTAACACTCATTCCAAGGCAATATATTATTATTTTTTCTCTGTCATTAGCTCTTATCTTGTTCATCAGTGCTGGTCACAGTGTGTCCGATCGAGGGGAAGATTTCACTAAGGCCGAAACTATCCTACGCGCGTGGTTTGAATTTATTTTCAATTTTTACTTGTTTAATCTAACCCAATTTACTGCTTTGTGTCAAATTAATCCGTGTATCCTTAAAACCACTTACAAATTCAATTGTTATCCGATTTTGAGGGTAAACAGTTTGGCGACCACCGTGGGGCTAAGGATAATTGTGGTTATTTGATACAAGTTTCTATAACACACCCTATTTTTTACTTGTTCTTTGGAGTGCCTTTGATTTCAGGTTAAAGTTTTAAATGTTGAACTCCCAGTTTGTCCCTCTAAACGTGGATGCTGAATCCGGCCACCATGGCGAGAACAACAATGTAGCACCCGGTAACGAGGTGCCCCTCGTCGACCCTAACGGAATTCCAGTTGCGGACCCGACCGATGCTAGCTTGTATGTGGCCATCAACGCAAATTTGCCTACCAATCCTGAGAACAGTATCCGCAGGGAAGTTCGGTCAATTTCACAAAATACGCACGACGGTGAAGAAGATGAGATCAACTTACGGGTGATCTTCGAAATATTACAGGCGGCAATAGCCCAGCTCCAGAACCAAAGCCGCGCCCCGAGCAGAATTGAGCCCGAGCCGTCCCGGAAAGTCATCCGCAGAAATGAACCGGCCGTGGGGAGGACGAATGAAAATGAATCGGGAACCAACCCTGAGATCATAAAAATACTCGAGGAACTGACAAAACGGGTAGAATCGGGAGAGAAAAAAATTGAAGCCAATGACACAAAAGTGGAAACTTACAATTCTAGGGTCGATCAAATACTGGGAGCACCGCCGTTATTAAAAGGCCTGGATTCCAAGAAATTTGTTAAAAAACATTTCCCTCCGAGCGCAACTCCGAAGCAGATCCCTAAAAATTTCCGCATGCTAGAGATTCCTAAGTACAACGGAACGACCGACCTGAATGAGCACGTGACCTCCTACACATGCGCCATCAAAGGGAACGACTTGGAGGATGATGAGATCGAGTCTGTCCCGCTGAAAAAGTTTGGGGAGACTCTGTCAAAGGGAGCTATGATATGGTATCACAATTTACCTCCTAATTTTATTGACTCGTTTGCTATGCTTGTAGATTCCGCCGTGAAAGCTCACGCCGGGGCTATCAAGGTCGAGACCAAAAAGTCAGACCTTTTCAAAGTAAAACAGAGGGACAATGAGATGCTCAGAGAATTCGTATCCCAATTTCAAATGGAACGGATGGACCTGCCTCCGGTCGCGGACGATTGGGTCGTTTAGGCCGTCACTCATGGACTCAATGTTCGAAGCTCTTTGGCTTCACAACAGTTGAAACAAAATCTAGCAGAGTATCCAACTGTTACTTGGGCCAACGTGCACAACCGGTATCAATCGAAATCATGGTCGAAGAACGATCAACTTGGGGGCCCTTCCGGGTCCGTTTATCCCGTCAGAGCCGTCGACAGGTTCAGGAGAGACATTTATCATGAACCAAGATCAAGCAGAGATCGTTACCAACCGTACAACGGGGACCGAAGAGGTAATGGGTCCGGGCAAAACCATGTAAGAAGTGAGAGGAGGAGTGATCGAGGTCAAAACAACCAGGGACTCATGAGAAAAAACAATTTCGACAGGCCCATCGGGCCTAAGGAAGCTCCAAGATTATCATGATACAACTTTAACGTCGTCGCTGCCGCCATCGTATCTGCCATCGGACGCATCAAAGACACCAAATGGCCCCGACCTCTATAGTCCGATCTAGACCAAAGGGATTGATCGATTCCAAACCTACACTACTATTGAGTAGCAAGGATAGTCGATGCAGTTTTACCCAACAACGGTCGGGATCAAATCCACAGGGAGTTAATTAGTTTGGAGTTAGGTTTATATCCGAGTAGAGATGTGGGTTTTGCTCTTAATTGTACTTCCATAAATGGTTGGTTTTGTTTTCTACTTCTATTTCTATTCTATAGCATGCAATAGCTAAAACTAAGTACAATATTTTTGTTGGTTGTTTTCAAAGATTTAAAGGGACTAGGGTAGTGACTTCCGCATAGGTGGATATCTAACGGGTATCGAGAATTCAGGGCAAGCTTGTTATGATTGGGCTCGTGATATAACCATCACACATAAGTGCTCACTCTATACCTCTCGGTAGTTTGAGTGACTTTGCCCAATTTGGCTTTCTCAAGTCCAATTGGGTGTTCATGCATAACAAATGATATTGGCTCAAGTCGCGTATTACTATCTCTAGGTTTAACCCTTTAATTGGGGCTATCAATCTCTTGAATTCACCCCAATTCCTTGTTAGCCTAATTTTTCTAGACTTAGTCCCTCTTTCTCAAGAAGAGTCTAAGTCATAAAGGCACGAATCAGTGTTTGCAACCACCAATTCTACAATTAAAGCATGAATTAGGCTAAATATCACTAACCCATAAACAATTAAGCCCTAAAATTCAAGACCCATTAAATACCCACACTAGGGTTGGGTCACAACTCTAGCTATGGGGCCTAGCTACTCATGATAACAGTAAAAAGCAAAGATGAAGATGAAATATAATCCATAATATTCAAATACAAGATGAAAATCTAAAGATTGAAGATAAGTCTGTTCCAAAATTACTCAAAAAGGTAAAAACCAGCCGTACACGTGTTCTCTCTAACAAAACTTAACCTAAAAATGTCAAAAATGTCTATTTATACTAAGCTGAAATTCTCGGACAAAAATGCCCCTGCGTAGAATTTGCGGATGCGCAATTCTGATCTTTTATGGCCGCAAAATAACGAGCGCGGTTTGCGTTTCTTCATAACTGGGCTTGGGTAGAGCTTGAATTCGCGGTCCACGCATTTTTAACCGCGTTCGCGTGAGAAACAGATGCGGCCGCGTAATTTGGACGCGGACCGCATTCTTCACTTAAACCAAAAATGTAGAGTCTCTGAACCTTGATACAAGCTCTCAATGAAAATCCATCCACGGCCGCGCCATAGACTTAGCGGTTGCGCTTTTCCATCGCGGTCAGCGTTGGTTCTTGAGCTCAAAAATAGCCTCTCTGAATCTCACTTTCGCGGACTGCGTAATAGTGGTCGCGTCAGCGATAGTCCTTACGCGGCCGCTCTTTTCTACCGCTGTCAGTGCTCCAGTCCCAGCCTTGGATCTGTGCAAGTTTGACTCCTTCATGAGTTGATTATGGCACCAAACCCTGCAAGCAAGCATATTATATTAGTTTTCGGGGATACCTTTACGCATTAAAGCCCAAAACGCAAGTAAAAAGAGAGTAAATAATGGTTAAAATCCCCACTTATCAACTCCCCCAAACTTAAACGTTTGCTTGTCCTCAAGCAAATAAGGTAATTCCCACCTTCACAAGAAAAATAAAGGAAAACTTCAGTTGTCCTAAGGTGACTTCATCAAGCATCAATTGGGACTAACAATTACCCTCAACACAAATGCATTATCAACAACACACAACCTTTTGAGTACCATAGTTCTAGTGCGACACAAGAGCATCAGGAGTTGACTTAACTCACCAAGGAAGTTCGCTCTATTACGTAGGTCATTGTGGGACCCAAACTCTTCCTCCTCTACTCTCCATAAGCAAATCTCACTTTAGAATTGAAGCACACAAAACAAGGATTGTAAAGAAGCACACTCATCTCTCACAAGGGAATGTCACAAGTCCGGCTTTAAGTACCATAAGCTTGTCCGTTATGTGAATCATCACTAATGTAAGATCACTCAACTCGAAATCCTATAGGAATTTTGCGGGAATGTAATGAAGGCTTTTGGATCAAGGTAGGAGATATCGGCTATGAAGG